CCATTCTTTCCTTCATCTTTTCATTTTCTTCTAATAGAGGACCCCTCTTAAAAAACTTTGTCACCGTACCAAACCTCTGAAATTATGGTCAGGGTTATAGTTTAAACAGTCTAATATGCCTTGGCGAGTTGAAAGCCATTTTATGGATAGAAATACAGACTCACACAACAATATTAAAAATTTTGAAATCCGCTTAAAAATTTTTGGCCATCAAGATTTGAACACTAGTAGAAAAAAGAGCATTGGTGATGGGATAATCCATCACCAATGCTAAGAAATCCGTCATCAATGCACATTGAAGATGATATCAAGGCGTCACCAATGTGCATTGATGATGGGTAGACGCATCGGCAATTTACTCATGCGATGGGCATTGTTGGTTAGGTGTAACAATGGCGATGGGTTCAAACCCATCACAAATGCTCATTAGTGATAGGTTAGCCCGTCATCCATATCGCAAACATCGGTGACGGGTTAACCCATCACCAATGCTCAGTGGTTACGGATAGGCCCAATGTTATTAACATTGGCGATGAGTATACCTGTCACCAATAAACATTTATGACGGATTACCCCATCACCAATGTTTATTACTACATAAAGAAAAAGTTGAACTAGTTGGCTCATTGTACACAAACACGAATAACACTCCTGCACACACACACACACGCGCGTGCACACATACACACACACACATATAGTATTGAACAATTATACCACATCTTTATATCCAACAATCACATCTCACATATCTATCCACAAAGCAATAAAATTACAAACACATACTACAGTTGTTATGCCATAGAAATAAGCAAGTGTTAATCACATTCAACTTGTTGACACGTGTCCCAAAGAGACTATACCCCAACTCAATACAAACAGACCAAAGAAGAGTCATCCCTTCTCGCTAGGCCGAGGCATACCTTCTCGCTAGGCCGAGGCATACCTTCTCGCTAGGTGAGTCAACCCTTGACAAGCGTCCCTTCTCGCCAGGCTGAGTCGTCCCTTTTTGTCAGGAGGTGCCCTTTCTTAACAAGACGAGACAAGTATCCCTTCTCGCCAGCCCGAGTTGTACCTTCTCGCCAGGAGGCATTCCTTCTCGCCTGGCCGAGTCGTCCCTGTTCACCAAGCCGAGTCATCCATTCTCCCTAGGCCGAGACAATAACTTACAGGGCTGACTAAAAAGGTAGTATTTGTCACCTTCTCTCCAGGAGGCATCCCTTCCCTTCTCGCTAGGCCGAGTTATCCCTTCTCGCCATGAGGCATCCCTTCTCGTCTAGGCGAGTTATCACTTTTTGCCAGGTCGAGATAGGTATCCCTTCTCACCAGGCCGAGTCGTTCCTTCTCACCAGGCCGAGTCAACAACTTGTGAGACTGACTAAAAATGCGGTACTTATTGTCTCTTTTTACCAGGAGGCTTCTCTTCTTGCTAGGCTGAATCGTCCCTTCCTTCTTGCTAGGAGGTGTCCCTTCTCGCCAGGCCAAGTCATACCTTCTTGCTAGAACTAGACAAGTATCCCTTCTCACCAGGCTGAGTCGTACCTTCTCGCTAGGAGGTGTCCCTTCTTACCAGGCCGAGTCGACAACTTACAAGGCCGACTAAAAAGGAGGTACTTGTCATCCCTTCTTGCCTAGAGGCATCCTTTCTCTCTAGGCAGAATCCTCCCTTCTCGCTAGGAGGTGTCCCTTCTCGCCTGGCTGAGTCGTCTCTTTTTACCAGGATGAGACAGACGTCCCTTCTCACCAGGTCGAGTCATTCATTTTCACCAGGCCGAGTTGACAACTTTTGAGGCTGACTAAAAGAGCGGTACTTGTCGACCCTTCTTGTCAGGAGTCATCCCTTCTCACCAGGCCAAGTCATCCCTTCTTGCAAAGAGGCATCCCTTCTCGCCAGGCCGAGTCGACAACTTACGAGTCCGACTAAAAAGGTAGTACTTGTCGTCCCTTCTTGCCTAGAGGCATCCCTTCTCGCAAGGCAGAGTCGTCCCTTCTCACTAGGTGGTGTCTCTTCTCGCCTGCCTGTGTCATCTCTTTTTGATAGGCCGAGACAAGCATCCCTTCTCACCAGGCTGAGTCGAAAACTTGCGAGGCTGACTGAAAAGACGATACTTGTCATCCCTTCTTGCCAGGAGGCATTCCTTCTTACTAGGCAGAGTCGTCCCTTCTTGCCAGGAGGTGTCCCTTTTCCCCAGGTCGAGTCATCACTTCTCGCCAGGCTGAGATAGGTGTCCATTCTCACCAGGGCGAGTTGTACCTTCTCCTCGAGAGTCATCCCTTCTCACAAGCCAGAGTCATCCCTGCTCGCTAGGCCGAGTTGTCCCTTCTCGCCAGGTTGAGTCGTCCCTTCTCGCTAGGCCGGGTCAAAAGACAGTCATCGTCTAACCACACCAATAGCCAATCATCATCACTATAAATATATTATCAGAGTCATCATTGTTTTAGCCTTTATGACTCATCAGGCTCCATCAGCACCATACTTCTTCTGTTATCATCACATTGATCACTAAGTTGACTCATGCCACCCACAACCGACACATGTAAAGTAATTAAAGACTAAGCAGTCTACTTGGACTCGATCAAAATTACAAAATTTCCCCTTTGAACCTACTATAAATAGAGGGACTATCTACAACATATATGTAAGCAATCTCTTGGTAAAAATACACTATCTCCATGTTACTTTTCTACTCAAGCTCAAATACTAACTTGATCATCGGAGGAATTATAGGAGAACCCAACTCGGCCTAGCATGATTTGTTCTTAAATAACAAGTGAGAACACAATGAAGCTCACACTCACTAAATCACACCCCACAACTCATACTATATGGTATGAAAATATTAAGCTCAATATGTGTGTGTGATAACAGTGAATGAAACTTAATAAATAGGATTTGAAAGCCACTTCTTGTTGTAGAAAAACTTCTCTTGAAACAGATTGATGAAATCAGCTTTAAACAGCTCTTTGAAAACACACTTAATATTTTGTTAAACACAAATTTTGGATTTCTTGGATGTATAGAAAGAGGGCAGCAATGGGGTATTTATAACACCCCAATACATCAGTAAAAACACAAGTAAAAGACCAAGAAAGACATTTGAAAACAGCTGTAAAAACTAGCCGTTGGAGATGATCTTACAGTTCGACGGTCGACCGGTGCGGTCGACCGCGAAGCTAAAAAACCACAGATATGAAAATATAAAGCTGGCGGTCGACCGCGAAAGTCTCTGGATGTTTTCACGGTCGACCGTCACGGTCGACCACAAGCACATAAAAACCATGCGAAGGAAAAATACCATTGGCGGTCGACCGCGACGGTCGACCGGAATATGATATATTTCATATGACAAGTTTTTAGGCTATTTTGAAAATTCATTAAAAATATCAAATCAATTCCTAAAATAGTGAAACTTTAGGAAAAGTTTCTAAATGATGAAATAAACATGTTTGAAAAGGAATTTTTGGAAACTCAATTTTCGTTTGTGAAAACTCCCTGTTTTTGAAAAGTGTTCAGAAAACCTATTTTTCGTGAACATGAAAATTGACATAAGGCTTGTAAATATGTATATATATATATATTATGCATGTATTATATGTATATAATGAAGTATGGAAGAGCTGTAAACATGAGACAAAAGATATTGTAACAACGTTTGATGAAAAATTATTTATATGATAGAAAACATCAAAAATCGTGTTAAGTGTACATATATTGAGCTTAGATATAATCATACAATATATGAAAGTAAACTTAACTTATACCAAATTTATACCTTGGTAAATCCACACATATGAACTTGAATCTTTAACGCTCGATTGACGTGTGTTGAAATACCTGTAAAGATAAACACAAAG